TATCGAAAGAAAGCATTGTATCCATGTTCAATTTCCAGAACACCTTGGCATGGTTTTTAATTGCTTAACTTTTCTTTCTTTTAATTTCAGTCAAGTTCATTGAAATCCCCAGCAATATGGCAATACTTTTTATCATTCGGCTCGCTATTCGGTCTTGCCGCCTTCGCCAGAGCCCGGAAAAGAAAGTTTTTGTGATTACGATGCCTTTCTTGAGGGAGCTGTTTTTGATGTCGAAATAGTACACATACGTTGGTATGTGATAACGACTGATAATAGCTGATAAGAGGGGCTAGAAAGCGAGCATCGCCAATTTCGTTTTGTCGTTCATATTGGTACTAGAGCGTCTATACTTACAAGTGTTATGTGGGGTGGTCCCGGGACATTGGTGGTACATGATGAAAGCGATAGCAACTGATAAGGGCTGATAAGGGCGTCAGAACGCAAAAGTCGTCGATTCCGTTACGCAGCTTGCGTTGACACTAGAGCGTCCATACTCGCAAGTGGGGTGGGACGGGGACATTGTTGGTGGTTGAACCGCTAATCCTCTCGGGGTTCTAAATAATGGTGAATGTAAATAAATGATAAGCCTTAGCTCCTCACTTATGTAAATAGGCATATTTCATTTTCATTTTGAGACTGACAGCAATCCTATTCACCGCTAAATTATCTGAATTCAAGAAGAATGCTGGATGTTTACAGTTGTGAGATAAATATGCCAGTTCAGCTCCAGACGTTATCACGTATTCTCGATGGACTTCAGCGAAACTGGGAAAGGTCTAACACATTCAATAGTGAGTGGTTAATGGAGTACCTCATGCTGATATTCCATGGGTCCTTCAGTTTCGCTAAAGCCTGCCTGCGCGCGATAGCGGGCGGAGCAAAACTGGTACATAAATAAGAGATTGGAACTCATTCCACGACTGTCTGATTAATTGTTGCGTCTGAAAGAGAGTTTAGAAGAAGATCGTAAAGTTATGGAGCAATGGAAAATTTCCGGACAAAAAGCCTGAAATCGAAGGCCTTCCTGAAGAATGGACGAGTCCGAAGATGAAACAATAGACGCTGAGGCAAAAGAACAAACTTAAAAATGAGAGAACATAGGAGTCAAGTGAGAGGAGCGCAATGTGTGCAGTGATTCACAGAAGGAGGTATGCAAGATTCAAGCCTTATCCCGCTTGCTTTTGACACCAGTTTGTGGTTCCCTCACAAGACCAGAGCTACAGGATCCGTCATACAAGAGGTAGGAATTTTCAAACTGTCTAAACCCCTCCCGACCAACGCTTCAAATAAAGTGGTAATGGTCCACAATCTTTTGACGTCCTCGTCGATTCCGCAGCATGCACCGCGTTCACGAAACAAAATTTTCGATGTAGTTGTGGTAGATGGCCGTTATGAAATATTTTGGTAGACTAGGATGTGGTCTTCAATTTCCAATTGTAGTCATTCGATATGAAACTATCAAAGTGTGATCAATATGTTTAAGATATGGATGGGGATGACTTCTTTTTTTGCTCCTTCCCCCACTCGCTGTACTAAATGTGGATCATGGCCGGGTTTGTGCTAAATACCTTGTTGCAATGCATCGATGTCCCACAAAGTATGAGCGGTACTGTACCGGGCTAGAGGCTCAATACTCTTTACCAAATGATGTTTCTCGTTTATAGGTGCGAGGTATTGAATATAAGTATACCCTCACCGCAACCTTTAACGCCTTAACACAAGATGAATGCAGGTGAATGAATCTCTCTGATGGGAAGGATAGAGTCGTTTACGCTTAAGCAGTTGCAGTTGTAAGGTTCTTGCGGCTGTAATGCGACAGGGTCTTGGGAACGCTTCAATCCTTCAAATTTGGCCTGTAAATGTATGCTGTGTCCGACGCTTTCATCTGGTGTGCTTTCTCATGTATTTTCTCCTTGATCAACTTCTCATTACCCTAGCATACTAGCCCCTTGGCACCGATAGTTTTGTTTTGGTGGGCAAGAACCACACCAATTTCAATCTGGAGCCTGCAAACCGAATGAGACATTTGAGGCTGCGGACCGTTTCAGCATAATGTTGCGGGGAATTCCCAAATGATACTCCTCCAGCAATGTCTCCACCTCCCTCTAATGGACGGTGTCAGAACCTGAGACTATGTGAACCACAATGATATGTGGCTGCAGAACACATTTTGCTATTTTTCGCACTTCACAATTCCCAAACACAGCCTATGGCCAATCTGCGAATTCCCAAATACGACGTCCCGAAAATATAAGCAAGCGGCCACGAAGCACCTTTAACCTTGAATTTGAGAGAGTGACTTGGTGAAAAGTTCAGGCAAAAAACTAACCCTAAACGAAGGTTTTCGAATAATGGCAGTGAGTCGGATTCAGTCTCAACCACCTCGTCAATGTACTCTGGCCAGTCGCCGGCGCTTTTCTCATTAGTTGATCCTATTGAAATCGCTCTTTCCTTCGTGCTGTGACCAGTGGTGATGAACGCCTCGCAGCCGCTGATGAGCACATCATACAACAAACAGAAGAAGAGCAGGTAGTAAAAGAACATAATGTGTTGCCAAGAAGGCGTCAATTGTGTGGTGAATCCTGAAGAGCTGTAGTTAGAGCTGAATTTTCAGGAGTCTTCATACAAAGAAAACGACAGCAGAGAATTAGAGAATCAAAGGCACACGAATACGACCAACTGAAAAAAGTGATGAATGGAATGCGTTGCTGCAAAAGTTCACGCAGATCAAACACGCTTTCAGAGTGGCATTAGCGTATTGAGCGCTGTTCTACGCGAGAGAAGTCAGGAGTTTGTCCTCAGATGTTTCTTCCCTTTTTAAGCATGTACGGCACATTGAGGGATCATATAGGCTGTTTTCATACTTCGTGCCATGACGGTCGTTGCGGACAATGCGTATACCACGAAGAGTTTCAACACGCGCTCTGGCGTTTGACGCGTACATACTTAGCGCGTAGACGGCGCCTTTCGATCGGTAATTCCAATTTCAATACATTCCTCATATTTGTAGGAGTATTGCACGCCGTGCTGCTTTCGCTCGTGTTTTTCCAGCGCAGAACATTTCTTTTTCTGTACAACTTGTTGCTTTTGCGCGATAATTAACTCTCCAGGAGCTTATCACCCACCACGTTCACACGAAACTACAGTAGGGTAACCGTTTAGAGACTACTGAAAAGCAATGATTTGGGGAAATGGAAAAGTATGAGCTGAAAAAAAAACCAACGAAAGCAACACGGCATACCCAACGTCAAATAAGAAACAGAAAGTATAGAGAATAAATCATCGATCGGAATAGCGATCTCTATCTACAACGTGCGCAACTTCGCACTATAGAAGCAGCCCTATCACAAAAGCGCACATGGTTAGATCATCTAAATCAACACTATTATAATGGCCAAACAGTAAAACAATGAAGACCTGACAAAACGGAACGTGGAAACGGGACAAAA